CACAGTTTCCTGCTACTTTAAAATCCCTTTCCTACAGTAATATGGTAGTTGTTTCAAGGTCCACATATGAGTGAGAACATGTGATACTCATCTCTTTGTTTCTGTGCGAGATCACTCAGTATTATATACTCTAATTCCATCCACATTGCTGTGAAGTTCATGATTTTGTTCTATATGGCTGTGTAATATTTCATTGTGTATAAGTATCACATTTTTTTATCCAGAGGCGGAAGATGGGCAGGAGGGTTGCTTCCATGTTCTGCGTATTGCGAGCATGGCCGTGACACTCCAGTTTGGGTGACAGAGTGAGACTCCAACTCAAAAAAAAAAAAAAAAGTAATAAAGAGAGATTAAACAACCACTATTAAAATTTTCCAGTATAATCTTCTATACTGTTTCCTATGCCTAAACAACATATACCCATTGTTAATTTTCAAAATTTAGTTTTTGTGGCTAATTTAGTTTATTTGAAAGAGTTCAAGTACAATATTTTGAACAGATCTTGTTTGTGTATGAGGAAATAAAGCACTTTGGAGGCATTGTATTAAGTGAGACAGCAGCACGACTGAAAAGATGCTTGTCCCACATGTAAAAACCATCATGGGTACAGTAAAAAAATAAGCAATTAGAGTAAGCCGAAGGAGAAAAAAGACTGGAATTGATATTTTGAAAAGAGCGAGTCATTGCTTCAATTCTATTTTTTTTTTTTTTTGAGTTGGAGTCTCACTCTATCACCCAGACTAGAGTGCAGTGTCTGCTCATGGCCACCGCAGCCTCGACCTACCAGGCTCCGGCGATCCTTCCGCCTCAGCCTTCCAAGTGGCCGGAACTACAGGCGTGCGCTACCACGCCCGGCTAATTTTTGATTTATTGTAGAGATGAGGTCTCGCCAAGTTGCCCAGGCAGGTCTCTAGCCCGCGGGCTCAGGCAGTCCACTCACCTCAGCCTCCCAAGGTGCGGGATTACAGGCTGAGCCACCAAGCCCGGCTGCTTCACTTCTATTAATTTTCTTTTGTATATCTTCCGGAAGTTTCAAAAGTAAAAATTATTCCACATTAGCATATTTTAAGAATTGTCAAGATTTTTATTAGGTTCTTTTAGTCTAGTCATATTTAATAAATGTGATTTTAATTATATGTTACCAAGGTATGTTGGAATAAAATTCCGACATTACATGATTATAAAGTTTTATATAGTTATTCATTTGGTATCTAATTTAAAATTTTGGCTTCAGACTGAAAATATTCCTGTTGTTAGAAGACCTGATCGGAAAGATCTACTTGGGTATCTCAATGGTGAAGCATGTAAGTACTTTTTAGATTGTTTCCACTCTTAAGTAGACATTGTTTTTTCCCTGTTTCCCCTGAAATAAAGAAAATCAGGAAGATAATTTATATTTCCACTAAAATATTAACCTACCTTTAGGTGTGTCCATCTGCTCATCTTTCTTGTTACAGTGAAAGCACTGTCTTTGCTCTGAAGGTCAGTCCTCCCTTTCTTATGTGTGGATTTCATCTCCTTTCACACTTTATCTTTGTAAATTGTTATTTTTCTCTTGCATCATCAGTTTTCTACTTTCTTCCGGATCACTCCCTTTTAGAATACACAGTAAGATCTCTCATCTTCAAAAAATGTTTTTGACTTCACATTCCTACTACATATTACTCCATTTGTCTTCTCCCTATTACAGTGAAAGTTTTTGTCAGAGTTGGCATGGTATCATTGCTGCTGCTTCTTTACATCTGATTTATTTATTTAATTTTTTTTTGAGTTGGAGTCATCCAGGCTAGAGTGCAGTGACAGGCTCAGGGTCACCCCGGTGTCACCCTGCTGGGCTCTGGCGATCTTTCTGCCTCAGCCTTTCAAGTAGCTGAAACTACACACCTGTGTTACCACACCCGGCTAATTTTTTTTTTTTTGAGTTGGCGTCTCACTCTGTCACCCAGACTGGAGTGCAGTGGCTG